TTAAACTGGTTTTGATGCGCGAGTCTGTATTAAAAATATGGCCGATGACCAAAATTGAGCCCGCGTCTTATGTCAAAGTGTAGTTTCGAAAGCGTTCTAAATCACGTTTTATCAAATAAAAATCAATTCTAACCAACTATTCATCAAAGGAAATCGCTAGAAAGTTTTATGGATGACACGTTTGTTTCGCTGCCGACAGGTCAAGGAAAGTCACTTATTTTCCAGCTTGTAACTCCGATGATCAAACATCTTCAAGAAATCAATTCAAACACTATCTAGTCGATACCCTAAGAATCCTCTTTTGGTGGTAATAACTCCACTCCAGGCAATAATGAGCGCCCAAATTTCCGCATGTCTCCAAGCTGCTAAGCTTGATGAAATTAAAGCAGTAAAAGAAGAACACTAGATCATCTTTCAATGAGGTCCTGACTCTAAAAACATGTTTTGTTTTGAAGCGGCAATCGCGTTCGGAACGTAACCGGAAACCCTTTATAAAACGTGTTAGCTTGTGAACGAATTAGTTTCTTAGCAACCGCTGCGCATACTCAAATAACATTTTACACGATTTCTGCAGAGTCTCCTTTCCTTCTCTCGCCCGTAGAGGAGTTAAAAGGAGACTCTGCTCGCAGGGTAGTTTGGAGTTTGCTCTGCTGGGGTCTTAATTCCTGAACTCGGCTCTCAAAGTAAGTAGATTTTGTTAAGTATCTCCCTTCATTATATTTACGTATAGTTCTAAATAACACTAAACATAACATTACATCTTTTTTTAACAACTTCATTAGTTTCACTCTATTTTTAGATAACATTTTATAACGAAAGAGAACTTCGCTGAATCAAATTAATTTCCATAATGAGATTTAGTCAAGTTAAGCTTAACACATTAAGTCAGTTTCCGTTGGAAACGCTTTTCGTAATATATCTAGTCGAATCTTCAATTTGGGAACACTTTCTTCTTCATTTGGTAAGTAACGGTCGAATCGTGTGAATGGCTGACTCGATTGCAAGGAATAAGGCTAACTCTGAGATCAAACCCTGAATAAGCTTCTTAACCTGATCTAGGTAAGGAAACGAATAGCTTACAGATCGAACGAACCGTTAGAAAAATTCTTGGCATTCAGAAGTCGGGGCAAGGTTAACTCACAGATCGAACCCTGAATTTCATCCCTTTAGGCTGATCTAAGTCATGACACAGCTGACTCTTAGAACGATTGAGAATTTCGCTTTTATTGTTATCCATAAAATTAAGTATAGAAAATGAACACGCATCATGAGTATTTTCTGTAGCACAGTGGTAGGGGCATCGTATAAGACCGGTCTCTAGAAGGTAACGGTTTCGCTTCCTATCGGGGACTGTGTTTTTTTCCTGCATGAGTTCCTTTCAGCTAGAGACAATAGACCATTTCACAGATCCCGTGTCTCAACCTCAGCCTCGTCAGCGTGTAATATATTCTTTAGAAATTGCCTACAACCTGTGAAWTTTTTAAGTGTTTCAATTGTTCGTTGATGTGTAMATTCCTTTCATTACTGMRGACTGTAGTCAAATTCTAAAGAATAATTACACGCTGACGAGGCTGAGGTTGAGTAACGGGATCCGTGAAATGGCCTATTAAATGATCAATGAGTTTCTAGAACCAAAATAAATTCATTATATAAAATACTTAAAAGGATTCAGAACTGAATTTTGACATATTGAACCTAGCATTATGCATACCGTATGTCATATTGAACCCAGTAAATGTACCGCTCATCATATAATATACTTGAAAGGATTCTGAACTGAATCTGGACATATTGAACCTAGCATTATGCATACCGTATGTCATATTGAACCCAGTAAATCACCGCTCGTCATACATCGCCATACATGTGTGATGTCGTAGTCAACCAGGAATCGAGCCCTACATCCCAGAGTTGAGAATTGAGGGCACTACCGCTAGACCTACCTCGATTTTAACAAAGTTGTTTGTTTTCGATCGATTTCGAATTCGATTTATAAACTGAATGATTGCATTTTCTCAAAGCTAAATGTACACAACAAAAATTTATACAGTCAATTCAAAAAATGTTGTCGTCGACCAAACTCAAGTCTACGCGACTAGACCGAAAGGAACTCTGGGTAGCAATCATTGAAGCCGAGTTGACTGCATGATTTTATCTGACTAGTGATGCCTGGTATACAGCACAAACCTTCGGAAACAATCAATTCAGAACGAATATTTAACCGCTTCAGTGATTTTTACCCATATTCCTTTCGGTCCAGTCGCGTAGGCTTGAGCCAGTCGACGACAACGTTTTTTGAATTAACTATAAAAACGAACCAGGAAACCGTTAGTAATATTGTCTTTTCATTGTTTTATTTATAGCAACTGAATAGCAATGGCCGAAAACGAATGTAAGTAATTACTAGATATAACTAGCTAAAAACTAGTGTGAGCTGCGTCGGTGTTTCTAATGAAACAGTAATGATGAAAAGGTAAATTATACACCGTGAAAAGATGAAAAAACTTACTGACGTTTCGGACGCTAGTCCTTCGTCGGAGTAAAAGAGAAAGAAGTGGTAGAAAGGAGTGAATATATGATAGAATAAGACAAAAGAAACCAATGAGAGCAAGGTAGGCAAGGAAACAAAAACAAACAATCAAAAGATAAAAGAAAAGGTTAGTTGAAAATAAAGCGTTCATTAATCCCGTTGGGATTACTAGAGATAACTAGCTAAAAACTAGTGTGAGCTGCGTCGGGTTTTCTAATGAAACAGTAATGATAAAAGGGTAAATTTAACACAGTGAAAAGATGAAAAAACTTACTGACGCTTCGGACGCTAGTCTTTCGTCGTATTGAAAGTAATAACTGATTTACAATAACTAATTTAATTTAGAACTGAATAAAAAAAAGTAGGTGAATGTGATGCTGGAAGTTGAATACCAAAATCCCGAATTAGGCTATGGACGACGTCAATTCAATAAGCAAAAGCTTACAACATTATCAGTGGAATTTTCCTAAACTTTGTCTACACTTTTTTTTTTTCTAATATATTTTCTGACATTATTGAGACATGAATAGAATAAATGTAGAACTGAACTTACTCATCGATACCATTGGAATGTAGGATTTTGGTGTTACCAAAGGGAGTAAATTTGAACAACTCGTTGAAAGACATTCCAATCAATGAAGAGACCCAACAAAGTCGTTACTCTTATCATATACCCTGCGCAGTACAAGAACCGAAAATAAGACCAAGAGGTCATAAGCGAGGGTACCCTACACTAGCAAAGCCACTTTAGCACGTATGTCTTTCTTTATTTGTAAACTAGTGTACGAAGTTCACCATGGAGGCGAAAAACTTGATCTACCAGCGAACAAAAATGACCCAGAGAGCTCATGCGTACAACATGCAGATCCTCAACCATGTTATACAGCACCACCGTATTCTTACTATCCTCCTCAGCCCCAGGCTAATCAGCAGAGCTTTTTTGGCCCTCAGCCGCAAGCAGGACATGGGTATGTGCCGGGTTATCAGCCGTTGGTAAATCAACCTCAGGCAACCACGAATTTCACGACCACAAACACGACAGTCGTGATGCAGGTAATGGATAGCATGGGCGGCGTTCGCGGCTAACGCGTCGTATTTCACCGCTGTGAGTCCAACGGGTCGGGTCGCTGGTTCGAGCCCTGCGGTCGCCACATGTGAATTGAGTTAGTTTGATGTATTGTTCTCTCCTATGCTACGAGGGGTTTCTCCGGTTTCCTCCCTCCGTAAAAATCAACGTGTGAGCTGAGCGTTGTGTGCATAAAATATTGAATGTAGTGGTAGTGCGTGTGAGCGAAAATTGTCCCCAATTAGTGCGAAAGCGCTAGAACGACTAGACACTTGTATTGTATTGGTCTTTCCGAGCTGGAGCGGTAAAATGGAAACGAGTATGACGCGTGCTGAATCGTGGGGCTGTTTTAGGGCTGCTATTTGTCTTCTTTGTTCTACAGACTATCAATCAAGTCTCATTTATTCTAGTTTTTTTGCTTTTTGTTGTTGCTTTTTTTTTTTCCTTTTTTTTTTTTTTAATTATTTTATTTTTATTTTTATTTTTTTCCAAGAAAGTGACTTTATTAAGCTTTCCGCCATTTTGTTTCAAAACATGTCGTCCCAGGACTGTACCATGATTCAGCATTACTTGTAACTTGTAACGCTACTCGTTGCCAGTTTTCAACGCAATTTTGGATATGTCAAAGTTAGCTAAATGCTGGCTAATTAGTAGTAGTCGAAAATCGAGCCATGTCTTTACTTATTTTCTTTATTTCGTTTCAGCCGTGCGTAGTAGGGAATTTAAGGCCTTGTAACTACCTCGTTCACTCCATTATCAACACATTTTGCTGTTGTCCCTTTCTTGGAATCATTGCCATCATCTTTGGTTTTCTGGTAAGTCGCTGCCGCAGATTCGTCTACTCGGCATCCGTCATTATTATCCCGTGAGGATCTGGGACCGAATCTTATGACGCCTGCAGAGTACGCGCCAATCAAAACTATTCAGTCGGTACCTTTTATGGTTTTTTGACTAGCGGCAGCGAAAAAACAAATTCCAGCGTGCAGCTCGCAGCTCGAAGCTACAGGCTTAGCATGTTACGAAAATAATAGTAACCTCTTCCCCCCCCCCCTCCCCCCTCCCCCACTCCCAAAATAATAAAATAAAGACATAATAGAACTAAAACAATTCAATAAATAAATTCAGTCTTTAAATGTCTAATAATTTTAATGATCTTTCGTTTTKTTTTTTTTTAGGTTGATTCAGCATACGACAAGGGATATTTTGCTCAAGCTAGTTCCTACTCAGACTTAGCCCGGAAGATGAACATCGCTTGCTTTATTTTTGGTATTGTTATCTACGTATTTGGTTTCGCGATGTATGCGCACTATTGGAGCTATTAATCATTTATTTGGAGCGCTGTCTGTGAAAGAGTTGGTTATTTCATGAGATTTCATTTTAGATTTAAGTAATGTAAGGTGAATAAAAAGAAATGAATTATTCGTTAAGCTAGGTAGTTATATTGAGATAAAGTAATATAGACTCGATTGCAGAAACGTTGTAGTATACATTTATAGTAGTATACATATTGTCAGGGCTGTCAACTCTCCCGGAAAAACCGGGAGTCTCCAGATTTTGGACCGTGTCTCCCGGACTCCAGATTAGAGTCTCAAATCTCCCGGATAATCCCCGAAGCTGATCATTTCTTGTGAGACTCGACTTTCACAACCATAAAATTCCAATTATTTTATGTTGTTTGTGTTATTTTACATCGCTAACAAAATCAAAACGTTCCTGAAACTGTTCTTGCAAGCAGGCCATTGTAATATAAGCGATAATCTGATTGGTCAGAAATAAACCAATCACATCAAATGTTACAAAGCAAGTGACGTCTTTTCGCGCGCTTTTTTCCGCTGTGACGTCATGTCCCTTCCCTATCAATTCTCCAGATTTGAATATCTCRGGGGTTGACAGCCCTGTATTGTAGTATACCTAATGAGATGCATAATGCAAAATAACCACTTTCAACGTTTAAAAACAACTGATTTATAATCTGTGCGATCTAATAGACAAGAAAAAAATATTTTGACAGTCATCGAATGTAACATAGAATATCATTACATATACTGAATAAATTAGATATATGTATAAATGTACAGTCAATTCAAAAATGCTATTGTCTTTTAAGTCTCTTAGGCGGGATGCTTGCAACCCATCAATCGGGTTATGTTCGTCGCAATTTTCAAAAATAACCCTAAAGATGGGAAGATGGTACATGCTTGACCTGACCGAGATGTCGCTACTCCCCTGAATGCATGTGAATTAGACAAACTTAGCATATAGTTTGTAGCTTTGGGAAGGCCCCGTCCACACTATGCCGGATAAATTTGAATCCGCAACTCTCACAACGAAACCGAAAAAAAAAAGTTTTCCGTCAACACATGAAAACGGATAAAATATTTCGCGTTCACACTAGTCCGATCAGAGGCGGCAAAAACGCTTCATAGCACATCTGAACATGTACGGCGAAGCTGAAATTGAGCCCACGGTGAATAGACCCTTTTCGAGTTCCAAATTACCGCTGTGTTTCTTGATTACAGACTCATTTACTCAGGCTTATTCGTATTTATTGCTTAAATTTTAGCCGGTACGCCTAAAAAGCAGTGTAACTGAGTCGTTAACCGTGAATAAATAAAGTTAATTTATTCCATCCATTCATTCATTCATTCATTCATTCATTCATTCATTCATTCATTCATTCAT